ATTTAGTAAATTTCACTGTAGCAACAGGAATAAGTCATAACACATTATCACACGGTTCCAGTTACCTTTGTTCAGAGATGAATTTTATACAATTTTAAAGTGTTTTAAAAGGTTTTAAGTCTTGTGACCACCGATAAAAACCATTCTTTTGACGGTAAATAGGTGTACAACGCTGAACATGCTGCTACTATATTGTTGTTTCTACCAGTGAAAAGAAAATGTTAAGGGATTAAAAGTTTGACGACATCCTCGAGTTCTCTGCTACATAAAAACTGCAGACAAACACCGAGATAATATGTGCTTCCCCATGTACAGACGTACAGAAACCTATACTCAATCTATGCTAAATATACGACGACTTTTTTAAATTGTATCTGAATAAGATCTAACGTCAGTACTAGAGTTCCTGGGTCGGTTGGAAATGCCATATCTAAATTTTAATGTATTAATAAATGATGTAACGTTAATAACTGGTATACTGTTTTAACCGATACTTTGATACATTTCCAGCTAACACTATGAACTCGGGTACTGACGTTAGATCTCGTTCTAAATTTTTCTTTGTACCTTTGGAAAATCTATGACATTTCCATGTGCAGTGAAGGAGTTATACTTACCATGAATGTATATTTTTATACTGTAATAACAGCACATGTATTAATTCTGACTGATGATATTTTGAGTTGAAAGTCTTAGTTTGGCTGAAATCAGTCAGTAATTATTTATTTGATGATGTTTGAAAAGAAAAATAATTGAGCTTGATGATTCCTAGATGGCAGCACATTATGAGATGGCAGCTACTCACTCGGCCAGAAATGTGACTCTTTTTACAGTTCTTGATACCGTAGTTTCAAAGATTCACTATCTTACAACTTTTATACGTTTCCAACTATCTCAATACACCGAGACGTCGCTAGGCGCTGGTAAACGGGGCTCGTGCCCCGAATATCTAGTTGGTGTCTTGAAAAATCAGAATAGAAAACCATGATGATATCATTTTGAAACGCCGAAAATTCCCGCACCTATGGGCCCGAGCACCGAAACTTTTAAGCACCTAGCAATGCCTCTGTCAGTACAGTCACCTACATATCGACAATTAGGCCCATAGGGTTAAATAAGTTTTGTACGTGAAGTAAGAGTTTACCCGCTCGGGAAATATATTATTACACCATTTCTGTTAATACTTTAGGGGAGAGTAAAAAAGGATGGAAGGAAAAGAAACGAAGGCAGTTTATTTTTACACTTCCTATATTATAACATTGTTTTCTCAAGAGTTTGGTCAAGAGAAAAAATCTCAAGATCTTTGTCAAAGATGGCGACTATCCACATTTCTTTACTTTAAATCTAAATACAACAGTTCCATATTATGCTTAGTAGGTTTTTGTTTCATTTATATCCAACTACTTAATACAACAAGAGCTAGGGGCTCGATCGAATCGGCCAAGTTCATGACCAAATTGACCTTTATAGGTACATTCTATAACTTCTAATACGTTTAAAGTATCTTCACGAAAATTCGCAAGCTTTCACTAAGCACTAAGAGTCTTTTTCAATGATGTATTTTCACTAAACGTTTTTCTGTGAATATAAAGACTCAAAGTGTTGACTGCTCCAAGCGCAAAATGATCTTTCTGTTAAGATTAAAAATATTTTCATCTGAACATTGTCAAATTTAATTTGAGTAATCTCTAAAACCTCCTAAATATATTTCAAACGTTCTTTTGGAGTAAAACTTTATATATTATCTGTTATTTTCTCTGCCCTAATTCTATACGAGGTTGGTCACATTGACTGACCTGATAACCACCATAAAAAACATGAAATAAATTTAAATTGCACTTGTTTTTTCTCTATAATGACATGGAACTAAATAGCTTAAAACTCGTAACAGTATACACCTATTTCTATTTAAATTTTATTCCTTTTTTACCCTTTGAACCATGTCTAACTAAACATCCCGCCACACAAGTTGTAAATCGCTAGGCAAACGTGTAGCTCATGCTATCTTATCGAATTACATAAGGCACCATGGGAATGTACCTCGTGAAGAAGGTTTGTTATTATTATTTTTCTTTATTTTACCTAATATAACCATGTCTAACTTTAAAATTCTGTATTCTACATTTTAGTTACTTTTAGAATAATAAATGAAGAGTACACATAAATACAAGAAACAAGTACTTACCTGGGCTTTCTTTTTTCCCCAGTCAAATGTCCTGAAAACTTAACCATACTATTTGTACTAATAGTACTACTACTGCACTACATTTTTTTTTGTTTGATTAGATAATGTACCTAAAAACACAGAATAATAACAACAAAAAGCAAACAATGTTCTGTAACTATCATAATTTTTCTGGTTTTCTAACTATGCAATAGGAGCCGTTAAAAATTCAGTTAAGGTCGTGTATTTGCTTCCCGTAGAAATACAGTTTGAACTGGAAACGAAATAAACAGTAGAAAACAACCTAATATAACACGTCAATTGTTAGAGTAAAATGTTGGCTTCCTAACTGTTAAAAATAATTCAGTATGAAACATCAGGGATATCCATTAGTAACTTGTGAAAGAGGGGATGTAACAGGTGGGCGTGGCAAGAAGGATCTGATTTTCTAGTTTATGATTCTATAACCAAATAAGAGTGACAGATATAAAAATTATGTTTTGCCTGAGTAATAATAATATTATAATAAGTAATTTACTTCTCGGAGGGGGTTGTAAATAAATTAGAGAAGAAAGAATACCTAAAAAGCAAATTACTGTTGATTATATTGCGGGTTCACCATCCTGATATACCTAAGGATATCAGAACCTTGTTGAGAACCAAGCCTCTGTACATAGTTCAAAGAAAAGCTGGAGGTATATACCATCACTTTGGTATTCTTGTTTCACTACAGAAGAAATCTACTCAGTTAAAGGACCAAATCATCAATGGCTGCTGTTTGAGATTGCAAATTCACGTCGATGGATTGCCATTATTCAAAAGTTCTAACACGCAGCTTTGACCAATATTAGGATTATTTCTGAGAATGAAGACGAAAGAGACTGTTGTTATTGGTCTGTTTTGTTGCATTAAGAAACCTATTTCATCTAAACAATTCTTTGGATATTTTGTTGCTGAATTAAATATTAATGGAGGGTAAAAACAGTTATTTGTGATATACCTTCACGGTCATTTGTCAAAAACACTAAATCATACAATGGTTAATATCGTTATGACAAGTGCTGTCAGTCTGGGGTTTACATAAACAACTGTATGACTTACCCATTAACAGATTGCCAACTAAAAATAGATGCACCATTTTCACAACAGACTTTAGAAGATCACCATGTTGATTCTGTTCCATTTTGAGGTGTCAACATTGGACTAGTGTGAACATTTTTATTTAGTTTGCTTTGGTGTTGTCAGGCGTTTGATAACTCTTTGGACCAAAGTACCACTCAATTATTGATTGTCTGTCACTTTTGTTGACAGGATATCCACTAGTTTGATAGATTTATTTCACTATATTCCAACAGAATTTGCCAGAAAACCTTGTTCTTTCCAAAAAGTCGATTGCTGGAAGGCTACAGATTTAAACACTTTCTCCTATATACTTGCCTTGTTATTTTAGCTTTTTTTCTAAATACAACCATACACAATATTTGTATACTTCTTTTTGCTGGTATTGCTATATTAATCAGACCTAAACTGTCTTTCGCATATTGTGACTATGCTCATTCTATACTAGTATCCTTTATCAAGCACTACCGACCAATGGGTGTACAGAGTTCATGGGCTATTCTATTTGGCAAATAATGCTAAAACTTTTGGATAACTTTTCCTCTTTTACATATGAAAATTATTTAAAGAGACTGAAGAGGATGGTGTGGTAGCCACAGTTTCCTTTTGTTCAGATTGTCTGGTGGTTTTTGAAGAGATAACAATTAAAAGTTCTTCAGGTGTGTTCACTACTTTTTTGGGCTGGTTCATGCTGAGTTAGGTACTAAAAACCAATATAGAGAGGTGTACACAGAATTGTTTCATGCCAAACTTTGCCAGGGTGATCAAGTTTTCTTGACTAGGAAGGAAATATATACAGTCTACAATATAGTTGAATATTCTGATGGCGTGTATGTTTTGCATAGAAAATTCAAACAGAGCTCACTGATTTTTGAGTATGAATTCAAATCAAAGTTTCCTAAATTTTTTGTGTTTCCCAATCGTACAAAATGTAACAGACATTGCAAGCAACAGTGTGGTTTTGCTAAAGAGAGAATACTTTGTTGCAATGTCTATTTTTTATACACTCTGATGGTAGTTGTTTATTTACAAGTAAATGGACAATTCAAGCCTGTGGATGATTATATTTTAAATTTATAATATTACAAGGATACTTTAGTGTGTCTGTATTGGTTTGACACTATTTGCATGCCATTTTGGTGGTGTTTATCAATTGTTTCTTATTGCATGCCAAAATATAATGAAGTTTAAAGTTTCTTAGATTAGTTAAATATTTGTATTCCTAGATGCAAATGTATATCACTTAATGTTTCATTTTATGGTGGACATAATTATGTATATGGTAGATGAGTGTTTGGCAAATGGCCATTTGAACTTCGTGCCAGAGGAATCATATAAAGATGGGGTTTCCTGATGGCCCAATTACTCCAAGGAAAGAGTGAACAGAGCAGCGATGAATAAAGAGGAACCAGGACAGGGGTGACATAACATAATGTTAAGATACTGGTTGGTGAAGATAAGTCAGAATTTATGATTATATTTAAATAGTAGCAGAGCTTTGAGTGATGGCAGCAAGCTTAAAATATCTCACACACTATCATTTATTCAAATGCATATGAACATGATGCTTTCTTTCTTTCTTGTGCAAAAACTTTCAAAACACTGTACAGATCTAAGAAGTGTTTTTATTTTTACTATGGATTTTACTGTTTTGTTAAATTTATATAACTGATATCTGCAAATTTAATTCAAACCATTTTCCCTATGTTTTGTCAAGCATAAATTGAAGAGGACTATCTGAAAGCACAAGGAATGCTAAAGGATGACCTTACATGCAAGACTAATAACTTGCAGTCTGAAAAGAAGATGATAGAAGAGAAAAAGAGTGCAAAGATGTGTTTATGTTTCTACGCAGTATTGCTACAGAATAAATTCAGTTGTGAAGTAATAACATTGGTAATTGTATGAGCAACAATAATTTTCCAGAATAATATCAGTTGTTACGGTTGCTATTTTTAGTAGGGAAAGTTTCTTGTGATTGAACAGTCAGTAAGTATATTTTCTGTTCTAATATTCATTTCAGAATTATTTCATGAAAGTTATTAAATGTGTGCCTATTAAAAACTCCAAATGTCTATTAAGATAAAAGTTCTCAGGACTCCCACTAACCAATATGATCATAATTTTGGGATACAGCATAATTCACATGCTGGATTCTGATAAAAAAAAATCACTATAGCTCTTGTTTTTCCAAACATTTTATTTAATATTAAGTATAGTAACAGTGAAGGTGAAGAGGATGATCCACCACCCAAGGAAAAGGTCCCAAAGTAAGGAAATAATTTATAGCCTACTGCATCATCACTGCTTGGCCCACCACAAAACATTACAATATCACCGGAGTCGCAGGCATGTTCAGTCTTCTGACCTCCTTCTGTGCTAATCACAACCTCAAGTCCAACATCCACCCAAGGCTTTTCAAAAATGACCTTACCACCAACATCTCCAGCAGCCATCTCACCATCATCACCAAAATCCTTACAGATGATATAAACACCCGGGAATCTACCACACGCCAACAAGTCAGTGCTTCAACACTGCTATTCAGCAGAGCAAGTGGACGCTAGCCAGCAGAATACAACTTCACACCAGCGAGCAGATTTGTGAGTCAAAGAACTGGCAGTACATCAATACCCTGCAATGGTGAGCTCCTTTTAACAATATTGAGATTGTTGTACAAACATTACAGTGTATGGAATTGTGTCGATTCACTACAGTTATTATGTATTGACACATTTTGTTTCATATATTCAAATAGCCAGTAATTTTTGTGAGTAGTTCTCCTAATTTTTGATAGTAGAATGTAAAAAAATTCGATATCTATACATCAATAGAAAAAATCATATCCATTTCTCGTTATATTAATTTTTGAATAGAAGGTGAACCGTGCATCATGGAGATGGTGAACAGATCAGTGTATGAGCTACCATTTACTGTACATTAAAAGCTCTCATCAAAGACCATTCATTCCCCAGATCTTCTTAGTGTATTTGAATCAAATAACTGTCTTACATTCCTTTGTTTAAAGACCATCTGATTATAAAGACCACTTTTAAGTTTATTTTGTGTAAATATTGTTTTATTGATTGCAAACAAGAAGTTATTGTTTATTATTCTTATTGCAGATCTCAGTTCTAGCAGCTATTGGTGGCAAAGACGTCAAGCATGTCTCTTGGAATATAGTGGCTCATACATTTTACCCAAGAAAATTAATTGGAAAGGGATCAATGGCAAACAGTCGTTTGACACATTAACCACAAAGGCTTTAACCACTCGTACGTTTACATGTACATTGTAAATATACTTTAAAGGTTAGATATATGTAATATTATTAGTCCAATATTTATAGCCAAAAACTACATTGAGCAATTTAATAAAATACCGGGAATATTCCAGTTCATTGTTAATGCATTTTTATCTTGCATTCAGATTTCTACAGTTTATTGTCTAGATGCATTTTACTTCATTAGTTTTTGTGAAATATTATAGCGATTTTCTGATGTACTTGGAAGTAATTTTTTTAATGAATTTATAGTGGTTCAGTGTTCAGAAAGTTACAACTCTCAGACATGTTTTACACGTTGCTGATGAGCTTATATACTGTATTATCCTAATTAAATCGCACCCAATTTTGACAATTAGCTTCTTGTCATGGTTTTTTAAGATTTCTGAAATTCAGATTTCTGTTCACAAAAACACACTGGGCAAAAATGTTCCTGATGAGGAGGTGTCCAGGAACGCCATCAGCTGGTTTAACCTGGCGTCAGATAGCAGTGGGAGGTGTTGAGTCAAGGTTGCCAAAATAAAGTCCTAATTGGTTAATGTTTTACCATTAAACAATAAACATTATGTTTTAACAAAATGTATTTGATCATATTGGTATAATCATTCCTAAAATAACATTTTGTGTTTTTTCAGAATGGAATATTTTGCAATAAAGCTGTATAATTTCTACAAATGAAATTGTTGCTATTTTCATTGTTTTAATAAACATTTCAATTTGTTCATCCGAACATTCCAAACTTTCCCAGTTATCAGTAGTGAACAATCACTATATAGTCCATTCAGGGAAGAGACAAAGTCAGTATACACATTAGGCCTGGACTGGTGGTTAGGGCATTTGACTTGTAATCGGGTTCAAATCCTCGTCACCGAACATGCTCGCCCTTTCAGCCGCAGGGGCGTATTATGATGTGACGGCCACTCTCATTATTTGTTGGTAACAGAGTGGTCCAAGAGATGGCGGTGGGTGGTGTTGACTACCTGCCTTCCCTCCAGTCTATCACTATTAAATTAAGGATGTATAGCGAAGATAGCTCTCGTGTAGCTTTGTGTGAAATTCAAAACAAAACAAACCAAATAAAACTACATACAGGCAATTATATGTATATACACTGGTTTTTCACTGAAATTTTGTTGGAGAAAAGATACAGTTTATACTCATGTATCCCACCTTCAGAGACTTTGGTCCAGAGGTGGCTACTAGATTTGGGCCAAATGATGCATATTTACAATAGGCTAAGTCCGATTGCTGGCTCAGATGCCAGGTCCGGCCCAGTTATGGGTTGGAATTATTTTGCTGTGTGGGAAGTCATAGTTTTCGAAAATAACTGAAGAAGGTTACTGAAGTAAGTTTGTTATAATTTACTGGAGTATGTGTAATGATGATAAATGTACGAATATTACATAAAGTCGTTCATGAGTATTGTATAAAAAAAGGATCATCAGTACATGCAAAACTCGTGGAAATATTTCTTGACTACAATACAGTTTTACTACTCTGTCTCTCACTGCGATTTTGAGCAGGTCGTGGTTGTAACCTGGAACTTACGACCCTCTTTTACAACCTACACACTTCATTGACCTTCTGACTAATTAGACTTTAACTGACCTTACAATCCAGACATTCGCTACTTAAGACCGAAATATTGACAATGTTGGTTGTCCCTTTCTGCAACTAGCGCACGGGTCTCCATTCTTCATTGCCAGCTTCCCTTGAGAATTTATATCTGTCTTAGTGATTCTATTCTCTATTTTATTGTTTAGTTCAAAATGTATTCTGTTTTGAAAAGTGATTTTGTATTTTCATTTTATAGTAAGTTATTTGCTGAAGGTTACTTTTTTTTGAAAAACAGTTATGGAGTTGAGCATGTTAAAGAATTCATTTCTTATGATCTCTTACATCTGAATTCCATTATGATTTTTCTGAAAGGGGTTTTTATTTTGTGCTTTATGAATTAAATTTTGCACTGCAATTATAATTTAATTGTTAAAGTTTTTTTCTGTGCAATTGCATTGTGTAATTGTTAAAGTCTTTCTTTAAGTGACTATAGTGTAATGGTATATTCGTTAAAGGACATTTTGTTTTATGATTTGTAATGATACTACTATATCTTTGTTAACAGATTTTAATTGTGTCATTATTTTAAAGAATGTGAAAGTTGTGTGAAAGTATTTCCAGGAGTGGGAGAAGATTACAATACTACTTTAATACACACATTTGTATATATAATTGGTTTCAGGATTTAAACTTAATGTAACCTTTAGGACAGGCCTGAGACAGATGAGAAAAAGTGTAGTACGCAGGTAAACCACGAGTTTTATGCATTCTTATTTTAATGTAGCATTTTTCAAAATTGTTTGTTTATTCTAGAAACGGTTAGTTTTGAATAACATATAGTTGTTAAGCTCATTTCATTCTAGATGCCTTTGTTCTTTGTTATTCTTTGGAGATTTTAACCATGGTTTGTATAGCTGCAAAGTTGTAATTTTCACATAGAGGTTGACAGCAGTGATGTGCTCTCGAAACTTCATTATGTATGAATTGGAATGACCAGTCACGTGAGTAGTTATAGTTATCCTGGGTACGTTAGGTATTACCAATTCAACTAAGTAATGTGAGGTTTATTCACTCTGGAGCACGATCCTGAGTGAGTCAGTCAGTTTCGAAATAAGTCTCGAAGGGGTATAGCCGGTTTGTTTGTTTGTTTTGAATTTCGCGCAAAGCTACATGAGGGCTATCTGCGCTAACAGTGTAAGACTAGAGGGAAGGCAACTAGTCATCACAACTCACCGCCAACTCTTGGGCTACTCTTTTACAAACGAATAGTGGGATTGACCGTCACATTAAAATGCCCCCACGGTTGAAAGGGCGAGCATGTTTGGTGGGACGGGGATTCGAACCCGCGACCCTTAAATTACGAGTCGAGTGCCCTAAACACCTGGCCATGCCGGGCTCAGTATAGCCAGCTTAATCGTTCTTAATTCCTGTAAAAAGCGACTGTCTTTCGTCCATAAAATGAAGTACACATACTATTGGCTTGTATTGTGTTAAATGAAGACTGTTTAATTGTGTGCCACACTTTATAGCAAAAAAAAAAAAAAAGCATATAAGCACTAAATAGGTTTTGAATATTTACTCGAGAAAAATGTGAAAATAAACATAAAAAATAGGCTGCATGTTTACAAAAACTTATAGCCAATCTGAATGAAGTATTAATAATTCACTCAAAATACAATATACAGTGTAATAAAATCGTTTCATACTGAGTTAAGTAATAATATATTTTTATTTTATTCTTATCCTAATGAGAACATTTTGAAATTTATCGAATTATATGAAACAAAAAAGCAGTAAAAATAATACGTTTTAATTAAGCCGCTTTCCCCGGGTAAAATATTAACTATGTGTTTCAACAGTGAATCATTATCCATAAAATGTCAGGGTACAGAAACTATATATGAAAGAGAGATTAAAATCTTATGGAAAAACAGGGCTAGCGACTGGTCGCCACCTGGCGGTTATTTATGGAAGACATTGTAAAATAGAGTATTTATATAATCTTTAAGAGCTTTAATGAATGCCACATGTATACTGAAGTATAAGTTTGTAAAATAAAACACTAAAAACCGTTATGGGGAAAATACTGTTGCTAAGATGAATTACTATAAATCACTTTTCTTATTTCATCTTATTATTAAAAATTACTTATTATTATGACCCCAGTGGCACAGCGGTATGTCTGTGGACTTACAACTCTAGAAACCGGGTTTTGATACCCGTTAGTCAATAAACAATTAAATTTTTTGAGATCTTTTACCCCCAGTAGCACAGCGCATTGTCTGCAGAATTACAACGCTAGAAACCACGTTTTGATACCCGTTAGTCAATAAACAATAAATTTTTTGGGATCTTTTGCCCCCAGTGGCACAGCGGTATGTCTGCAGACTTACAACGCTAGAAACCACGTTTTGATACCCGTTAGTCAATAAACAATTAAATTTTTTGGGATCTTTTGTCCCCAGTAGCACAGCGGTATGTCTGCAGACTTACTACACTAGAAACCACGTTTTGATACCCGTTAGTCAATAAACAATATTTTTTTTGGGATCTTTTGCCTCAGTAGCACAGCGGTATATCTGTGGACTTACAAAGCTAGAAACCGAGTTTCGATACCCGTGGTGGGCAGAGCACAGATAGCCCATGATTTGTGAAGCACAGCGTAGTAGAAAAATCCGATACTACTGATTACAATGGTTGAGCTGATTGAAATAGGGGCGTATGATTTGCCAGGATAATTATTTTATATAAACTGTTTAAACTGCTTTAAAGTGCGTTTACAGGTTCATTTAGCTGATACAATGAAATTTCGTAGTTGAGACGCTTAGACTTAACACAAATCTTAAATAAGCAGACCCTTTTCCTACAAAACAAATTTTGTAGCCTGTATACAGGTAGGTGTTATAGGGATTTTTATTACAGCAATGTGTGCATTTAGGGATAATGCTTGATTCAGTAGCATTAAAAAGACGAATATTCAGCAATAAATCGTTAATTTTAGAACTGTTCTGACAGAAACAGTAAATACGCACGTTAAGACTTTCCACGATGCTGATATTCTGCAGTTTTCTTTTTAAAACAACTTTTTATGGACGTAACATGCTCTTAGTTATAATGTGTCATAATGACGTAATATAACACCAAAATACCGAGTATTAATCCGCTTTGGATGAATGAGTTTGTATTTGCTAATGTGTCGTTGTAGATGTGAACCCGTGGTGCACAGGCGCTACGTTTAGTACCTTTATATTTTGTTCACGGTGAATTCCTTATCATTCGACACTGCAGAGCTGCCACGATTAGACTTATGGGTGAAAGATATTCATATAGTTAGATTTTTAAACAACATAGTGTTAAATAATTGAAGTCCTCAAAATTTGCCATGAAAGCGGACAAGTTCGCTTAGAGGATGTTTAGGGAAACATCATATTCCGAGACCACATCCAAAACTAATGAAAATCAAACCCCTCACCCACAGAATGAGGCTATGGTTACAAAAAAGAGCCCCCCAGTGGCACAGCGGTATGTCTGCGGACTTACAACGCTAGAAACCGGGTTTCGATACCCGTGGTGGGCAGAGCACAGATAGTCCTTTGTGTAGCTTTGTGCTTAACTTCCAACAAACAAAGAAACAAAGAAGAACCATCGAATCCAAAAAGTCATTGCAATGAAGTTGGGTATATCTTCTTGTAAGATAACAAAGAAGTATTTGGAGTTTATGTTGGTCCACAAAGCAAAAACGGTTAGCTAAATCTCGAAATTAACGGCTGTTTTGATGAGAATGATGTCGGAAGAAAATGGAAACCCAGCAATCCCATTCGACTACATACCTGTCAAGTCCCCCGATGCAGCTCCAAATCCAATGGACTCCTGTGCTTCTGGTCTGCTTATATATGTCTTTGGAAGCCAACGTCCATCTATAATGAAGGGTCTGTGGAAAATGTGTCAACAAAACGTATGTTTTAAGATGTACTTTACTATCCTTTGTAAACGCTTGTTGCAACTGAGGTGTTGGGCAATGGAAGATAATTATGGTCATCAGCATTAACATAATTGAAGATAGAGGAAGTATTTCCAAAAACAGCTCAAGTCCTCGA